CAGCTGTGTGGCCCAGCCTCCCCTTGAACCTCTGCCCTTCACCTCTCGCTGCCTTGTCGTCCTCCCCACGGCCGCCAGCCCCAGCGGGGATGGTCACGTCACCACCAGTGACACTCCAGGGCCTGGGGGCCACTGGTTCTTCTCTGTCACTGACAGTGGTGGCACCATCCTCATTGTCTCCTGTGGTCTGGCTGTCGCTGGGGCTGCTGGTGACACTGTGTCCATGGCTCGGGGTTGCTGTGGTGGTTGATCCTTCGGGCTGCCCACGAGCAGGGATGCCATCGTCGTCATTGCCATTGCGTGCAGCAGTGACAGCCAGCCTGGGCGTGGGGCTGCTGGTCCCTGCGGTGGGGACGCTGTCATCCTTGCTGCCATCAGTGGCACTGGCCAGGGTGGTTTCTTGTTCCCCCACACGGATGTTGGCCCTCCCAATGAAGATGTTGACCTCGTCGTCCATGTCCGGAGAGATTTGGGTGAAGCTGGTGTCCCCCGCTGTGCTGCCCACTTTTCCCTGGGTGATGGTGACGCTGCCCATGTCAGGGATGTAAGCGTATTCATCCACACCTTTGGTGTCCACTTGAACATCCTCCATCTTCTCGGTGACAGAGGCAAGAGTGGTGCCTCCCGCCCCTGAGCCCTGCACCCCGCCCTCCTGCCCTCGGCTGGGGACAGTGGCCTCAGCACTGCCCTCCTCCCCAGCCCCTCCAGTGGTGGGGGCCCTCTCCCTACCATCTGTCCACCCCATCTCGCTCCCAGCTGCCTCCTCCACTGGGACCTCCCTTGGGGCACCATCATCCTCGTCCCCACTCCTGTTCCCTGCCATGGCCCCACTAGGTTGTTCTGGGGGGAGAACAGCAATATCACCATCGACCTCAACCACCAAATCCAGGTCACCACTGCCCTCCGAGCTGGCTGGGGTGGCACCCGCGACGCCAACGCCACTGCGCGCCCGTGTGCTGGTGCCCGGGCGAGAGCCACGGGCATCTCCGCTGATGGCTGGGGTGCTGCGGTTTTCAGTCTTGAGGTCAGTCCCATTCTCCATCACATCAGTGCCACCATTGTCACCTCGCCCCGGGGCTGCTCCATCCTCCGTTGGTCCCCGCCTGGCATCATCGTCTCCTGGCTGGTGGCCGGGGCTGGTGCTGTGGCTGTTGGCCTCTTCTTTCTGCGCAACGCACACAAGGGAGAGGTCAGGGCCGGCCCCAGCGCCCACCGGCTGAGCTGGGGTCCTGCC